CCTGTTAGCAAAAGTGGTAAAAATCAAAATCAAAGAAAGTGCACACACAAACAGACAGGCAGACATTGACATATCACAGGACACACTAGCAGCATTAAAAACATTTGATTTTAAAGTGCCGATTGCTGATAAGGTATAACTCTCTGTGAGAGTCTGTGGAGTGTGTGTGTCCGGCAGTACAACACACCGGCATACTTGTCTGATCACATGTACATGGCATTGATTGGCTCCTTCCAGGTCTAGGCTACATTATACTCTGTTGTCTTCTTGATAAAAGATAAGTGGCGGCAAGTGATTCGGTGAAAACGATTGTCGACATTGACCAGCAGATGGTGGGGGAAACGTCCGGCACAGATTGGCCACAGAGTGCAACGCAGACGTTGGAANAGCAGACGATGGAAAAGTTCTCCAATTCCCAACAAAAGCACCAAAACCAGGACAATTCTGCACACAAAGTCAGTTTTTCCAAGGAAGGATAAAACAGTTTAATGTGTGGGCGTGTGTGTAGATGTCGTAATTAAGCGGAGAATCATGTTATAAGCGGGAGAGAAAAGAGGGGGAAAAGTGAGAGAAAACGAAAAGAGAGGAAGGGAGGGAGGGCAAGGAAGATAGAGATAGAGAAAGACAGGTGAGGAAGTAAGCTGCTGGAGGAGAAGAAGAAGGAGGATTCCTCTAGTCAGAGGCGGCGGGGGGGCCACCGTCATTGTTCTCATTTGACTGATTTGATGGACTGGCAGAGTGGTTGGCCGCACTGGCCGCATTGCCGGCAACGCCTGCGGCATCCCCTTCCCCTCCTCCCAATGGCTGGGGCTGCTGAAGTGGGAGTGGCTGCTGAAGCTGCTGCTGGGGCTGATGCTGCTGCTGCTGATCACCGCCGCCGCCGCCATTGTCCGCCGCCGCGCCCTCTCGGTCGCGCTCTCGTTCAGCCGCCGCAGCCGCTGCTGCCTGATCAGCATTAGCGGGCACCGCATTGGAGGAGCCCAGATCTACTCGAGCGACCGTCTCCGAGTCGAGGGAGTTGGACTCCAGGCCGCCGTCCAGCGACAGGTTGGTGATCGACTTGGAGCGGACGCACTGAAAGTCGACGTGCCGTGACTTGGCCTCCTCCTTCTCCCAGGACATTCGAATGAAGGGCCGTTGGATGTAGTTGTAGATCACCTGAGGACAGCAGAAAGCAATTTTGTTAGAGAGAAGTGCACAAATAAGCGCTATCTAGGCAGCAATACCTCTGGTCGGCGGTCCCCTGTACGCCTGCGAATCTTCTCCTTATGAGTTGGAAAGCCTGTGAGCGAGATTTAAAAAAAAGATTTTGTAGTAAGGCTCAAGGTAAAAGCAAACATTAAAAGATTACCTTCAATTCCAAGGCGAATCTTCTTCAAACCGCGATCCTTCAGCACCTGCTTCGACACATCTCGATTCTCGATGTACTTGAAGAAGCGATACATCTGCGTAGAGTAGATGACTAAACAGGGAGAGGGGGGAAAGAGAAGTAAACAAATGAAAGTTTAGTAACAGTAAACACACAGTAGACTGCAAATTTCACATACTTTGCGAGTACTCCTCGCCCGTCTGCGGTGGATACTCCTCATCCCAGTCGACGACATCATCATCGAGCAGCACCACAATGTGACACTCTCGGTCGCCCCGTTTCGCCGCATTGACCATCTCCGGCAGTATTTGCTCGTCGAGGAACTTCTCAAATTGCTCCTTGGCGCCCTCGTTGCTGATTTCGTGCAGCAGTCCGCCTGCGCATTGGAGGAGGAGAAAAGGAAAAGGGGGATAGGGAATTGGGATGGGGATAAAAAAAGAAGAAGCGATGGTCAGTATAAGTTAGCTCTCTTGGCTAAATGGCCAACTGCCACTGTCAGCAGCAGCAGCAGCAGCGGAATGGAGAGAAATCACTTACGCAGATTGTGACATTTAACGGTGGTCGAATCAAAGGGAATGAGAAAGTAGTCACAGGCCTCGTGCAGCTCGGCGACGCTCACACTCGGCGGAACGTTGATTACACCATCGCGCTTGTAATAATCCTGCAAATGTTCGTCGTCGCCGTTATTAGCACAAGTGTTAGTGAGAAACGGGACAGAGGAGGAGAAAGAAGAAGAAGAAGAAGAGGAGGAGGGAGAGGGAGCAAAAAGTGAAAAAGGCAGCACTTTATCTTGGCCAATGCCAGCAACAGCAGCAGCATCACATCAGTGGAATTGAATCGACTGCAAATCAAAAGGCAGCGGCGGCGGAGCTGGCGAAAAGTCCTGTGCTAAGCACTTTCTGGCAATTAAACACGGCCCAAATGAGCCAATCGCTGCAATGTGACGGCTGTGACTTTCTCTGTGTCCTCTTTCGCTGGCCTCTGCTGCTAGCTACTGCTCTGGCCAACACAGAATTCGACACAGATCACTCCAGTCAGCCATGGCGTGATCGCTAATGATTCACCAGCTCCAGCAGCAGCAGCATCAGCAGTGTGCACCGAAAACGGCGAAAGCCATTGATCGGGTCTCGGCCAGTTGCGCACAGAGTTGCCGAGTGCAGTCAAACACAGAGAAAGAAAGTGAGACACAGTCAGAGGAAGAATCGGCAGTGTTCACAAATCAGCAGTTTCGCTGTGAGCAGCGGCAGCGGCAGCAACCA